AAAGCCCACAATCTGAAATACTCCAAAAAAAAATCCAAGAATTCCTAACCAGACCCAAACTCCACGCCATTTTTAGATAAGTTTCATGAAGTAATGGCAAAAGCAGGCAACACTAAATATGAAATCATTTTAGATTATGTTACAGGTGCACATGAAACAAAAATGACCTTCAGATTCAGACTTGAATCCCAAAGATCCCACGATGTGCATGCTAAAATCAGAAGGAAAAAAATCCAAAACACTTCATTGTGTCCCAGGCATTTTGGACAAGAAGCACTCAGTGTGTACACCTGGATGTAGTGGAGACGGTAACACACTTCCTAACTGGAGTCACTTTTTCCTTAATACTGCAGCTAGTGTTCCAGTTAAAGGACAAACTACCCACTTTCACTAATCACTAAGAATGGCCAATTTTTTTCTCCTCACCCACTCCAGCAGCATTAAAACTGCAGCAATACCCAGTGTCTGTAATACTCTTACAAGTCAGAAAGACTGGCCCATCAATACAAGTTTAACGTGCCTTGCACAAACAACCCATTCTTACATGACTCTCCCCTCAGAGGCACAACAGGACCTTTCCCCCACAAACAAAGCAAGAGAGAGGGAAGGGGACTGTCACATGCTTTAAATGCAATGAAATCAGAGAAGAACACGTCTCGAAATGTGGGGATTAAACTAGACAAAAAACAAAAAAGATAACACCCAAAGAGAGGGAAGGGCATGAGGAAAACCAAAGCAGTAACAAACACAGCAGCTGGAGGAGCTGAGAAGCCAGCTAGAGTCCAAATGGAAGAGAGGACATGGAAAGTGGGACAGGTAGAAAAGAGTCCCGAACACCAGGCTGAAGCCCATGAACTGTGTCCAGTTGGCAAGAGGCCATCACTTTGGGTTTTCCAGGGGGACCTAAGTGATGAAAACCAGTAGAAATGGTTACATTAGATAAGAGAAGAAATCTGTTCAGAAAACAAAAACATTAATGTAAAGACCAAACCTACAACACTCCCACATTCCTGAACTTCCTGTAGCCTAGATGCCTGAAGACACTGACCTTACACACACTGTGCCCAAGTCACTATTCCTGCCCCCTCACTACCTGAGCCTCGGCTCCTCAATTAAATCGAGGGTGTCAGCTGCTCAAATTGTCACAAGAACTTGTCAAAGCACCAGTCTAGTCCTGACAGACACATGAAAAACAGCACTAGTGCTGCGTAGGAAGTTGTAAAAAGAAAACAATTATGGGACTGAGACCTGACCAAGTTTCCTAAGGAAAGCTTCTTCCCAGTTGAAAACAAGGAGTGTAGACTCAAAAATGGTCAAGACTTGAGGGTAGAAAACATACCCACCTGTAAGAAAAACCACAAGTTCTACTGGACTCAAAAACTACAAAACTTAACAATGATTCCAGTGGAGACAACCACCAATGTAAGGGAATCCCACCTCTATCTATAACTACACCAAACAAGGGAATGAGACAGGCCCAGGAAGTACTGACAATGCAGTCTAATTCTTCATGAGCAAGCCTCAATCACAACTTTGAGAATAAATATTGCTAAGTTTATTTCAAGAATATTGCCCAGAAACTCAGGAAATAGACCTGCTGAGGGCTTTATGTGATATTATGCAAAATGAAAATGTAACACAAAGAAGAAACCACCTCACAATCAAAGGCATGTCTTGACACTCAGGCAATGCTTGGCAAGTCAAACACTGTCCTGAGCACTACACATATACCAACTCCATTGTCTCAACTATGATACAACAGGGAAACATATGTGACAGTACTAATACTACCTCAAGGTCATGGGTCTTTAAGGGACAGACAACCAATTGCTCAGACAGCTGCACTACAATACATCTAGGGCCTTTCTTTCACAAGTTTTTAGAAATGCACACTTCAAAAGACAGCTGGTCACACTCTTCCTTGCTTTCCATTCTTAATTTTCTCTTTCTGCACCAGTATTTGGAGAGGCTACCTTTAACATTAGGAAAAAAAGCCACTAACAAGACACTACATCTAAGCAGACAGTTCAATGGCAGGACTCCTGGACTTTCATCCACCATGCCATCACCTGACAGAGGTACCTGAGAGCTACAGTCCCAATCAGAAACACAAAGTCTGTCATCAGGAAATCGGAAAAGCCATGTCTGGCAAAGCAGCAAGGAATGTGTCATATGTGGTCAACTAGAAAGACAATGGAGGAAGGGCCAGGAGGACCTGAGTGCAGCCCCTCTTCAGGGCCTAATCAGAATCTCTCCATCAGAGAAAGGCAACACTACAGACTGACCACAGGGGATCACACTAAATGACAGGCTGCACCTCACACCTCCTGCAGGTGGCTCAGACTCCCTGGTAAAAGGGCAATTATTTGTACTCTTTACAACTATGACACCAAAGACAGTTGGGTAATGAAACCTCCTGAGCATCAGCTCTCCAGTTTCTGTTGGTGGCAGTTCCATGGGCCTTGCTACACAGCCAGCCACAGAGGAAGGAAGGACCAAGGACAAAATGTAAGTGTCTGCTGCTCACTGCCTTCCTCTTCCCATTTCAGGGATGTATACTCTAAATGTTATTTCTGAAAATGAATCAAATCTACATGTACCAGAAAAACAGTCCTAACCAGTGCCAAGGTTTCTTTCATCTTTCCCCTGAGTTCCGATGCATTTCTCTCTGTTTGTTTTTATATAGGTAACAAACCTAACAAATTGTTGCAACTTCATCTAAATGTGTTCAATCTCCACAGTAAGGCTCCATCATAAGAACAATTATGTGGGGAACTTATTTGTACACAGCCTATGACCACACTGTAGTTAGACTTTATCACAAGTGACCTAGCACATCTACTCAACAGGCTGAAGCTCCAAAGGTCCACTCGGCACACCCTTCCTATCAGAAAACTCCATGCTCATAAAGCAGGAGCTACCCTTTCTGCTCACCCAATTCCCAGGAAGCACTTCTTTCTTATTGTCTTGACACACAGGTATTATGATAATCAATCTTGCAAAACTCTTAACTAGATAGACTCCAAGTATCAAAGGGTTACTTACTTGGGCATATATACAAAGGTAAAGTGTTCAATGATTGTTCAACAAAAGTCAACACAAAATATAATCTCAAGGCTGGGCCATAGCTCAGTGGCAGAGCACTTTCTTTAGGCTCAATCCCAATATTGCCCCCAAAACACATCCAAATTAAGAAACTACTCCATCTCCTATGCTAACAACATGTATAGGTTACAAGTGTGCTTCAAACAACAGACGGTGAAGGTGCAAGAACTCTGAAGTCAGTAAGGAGTTAATTAAGTGGCTTAACTATTTATACATACTGTTTTCTTTCCCCACAAGCTAGTGTTGCTCCTAAATACTAGAGATCTGACTCTATTGATTAAACTACAGGAAAGAGGGAAAGTGAAAGAGTGTTTAATGTTTATGATTACAGACTCATGCCTTGCAGGACACAAAACAAAGACAGAAATATACTAAAGCAGCAGAGAAGCCTCAACTTAAAAGCTGCATACAGGGCCTGCCTGCCTAACTCCTTCCAGGCACGTTTTTTTGTACTGCCACCCCTCCCCCATAGGTAAATGCCAACTGTTTCTAGAACTCTCAGTGATAATTTGGGAAGCTTGCCATTAACTCCCACGATTCAATCCAATTGATACACAATGTTTTTGTGCAGACAAAGATGCCCTACTTCACCAGACTATAAACTTATTAAAGTGTTGAGAACATACAGTCCCAGCAAGTCGGGATTACTGAAGTACTCCAATAAGCATGGCTCTTATTTAACAAAAACTGAGCATGAATCACACTGGGAAACCCCAAACTCACACAGTACCTTCAACGGGCCATCGAGATACTTATTGCAAGTCATTTTAACTAAGTTAAATCAGATGCTAGGACCAAGTGATTTGGGGAGAGGAGGAAAGACTTTACATTGATGGGGCACCATTTAGTCTCAAGATTCAAACTAAAAATAACACATCATTTCATCCACCATAATTTTATTAACATGTTTAGACCAGCTTAAGGTCTATATGGGAAACAAAAAAGCCAACAGTAAACTTCCCTAACTAACTGTAAATGACACAGGTAGGAAAAACCTTCACCCTGGGTCCTGTGAAGTTCAAGGTTTTAAGAAATCTCCAGCCTGAGGAAAAGTCATGTTTAGCTACGTTCCAACACTTCTGTGTGATCACCAAATTATTTTCGGTGTTTGGTAACCCAACAAAGAGAGTTTCTTAAAAGCCACCCAACCCAAATGTTATACGGAACAGACCATTTTCATAACCTAAATTTAATCCAAACTGAGAACTTCCAAAATTACCGAACACTCTAAAACATGCATGGCTCGCCTCGAGCTGCCTTTCAACATGGAATAATTACACTTAAATGAAAGTCTGCCCTGTTCCAAAAAAAAAAAAAAAAGACATCGGTTGCAAAGAGGAAGTCACCCAGCAAACACTCACAACCTGGCCTCTACACTGTCAGAAGATAATGTGACTTGTGTGCCACCCCGAAACTTACCAGGAAGCTGGCAATAAGTTTGCCAACTGTATACACTTCTGACCCAACTTTACTGAGACTGAGGCCAGGGCCTCCTTCTGGGGAGGACACAAGGTGCTCACACGCGCGTCCCGAGTGAGCGAGACCGGGCCGCGCCCCTCCCCCGCCCGCGCCCCAACAGCCGCCCGCAGTCCCCGCCGCCGCCCGGGGTCTCCGCGCGGCGCGGCCCAGAGGGGAACGCGACCGGGTGACTGCAGCCAGCGCGCCCCAGCGCGGACGGGCGCCCATCCCAAGCCCAGCCCGCTCCCCGGCTAAGCGAGCTTCCAGCGGTTGCGGCCCCGCATCCACCCGGCGCCCCCAAGCCCGCTCGCCAAGGCGAGCGCCTCCCGCAGCCCGGCCACCCCGACCGGGGAGGGGGGGCAGCACGTGAGCGCGGCCGCCCCTCCCCCGCGCCCAGGCCAAGTTCGCAGCGCCCGCCGCCCCGGGCCCGCGCTCACCTGCTTGGCGACGCTTTCCCCTCCCGGACGCGCGGCGCTCCCCTCCTGGCCGCCGTGGGCACCCCGAGGCGCCCTGGGGTGCTGGCGCTGACAGCCGGGCGGCGGGTCCGGCGGGGGAGGGGCGCGGGGGCAGGGCACAGCACCGAAGCAGGAGGGGAGCTGTTACTAAGGGAGAGAGCCAAGCGCGCGAGCGGCCAACGGCTCCGGCTCGGCACCGGGGAGCGCGGGGACCAGCCAGGCACAAATGAGCTCCGGGCCCGCGGCGGCGGCCGCCCAGCAAAACAAACCCGAGCGGCCTGCGCCCGGCGCGCGGGGAGGGAGGAGGGAGCGAAGAGGGGGAGGGGACGGAGAGGGGGGAGGGGAAAGGGCGTCGGGAGGGGGAGGGGAGGAAGTGAGGAGGACCCCGGAGGGGGAGGGGAGCCTGGGAGGAGGGGAACCTGGAGGAGGAAGGGAGGGGGAGGGAGGGGGAGGGGAGCCTGGAGAAGGGGTGGAGAAAAGAGAACGTGGAGGGGGAAGGGAGCCTGGAGGAGTAGGCGAGGGGGAAGGGAGCCCGAGCCTGGGAGGGGGGAGGGGAACCTCGAGAAGGAGGGAGGTTAGGGGAGGAGCGCTGGGGGGAAGGGACGCGCCGGCGGGGCGGGGCGGGGCCCCAACGGAGGCAGCGAAGCGGTGGGGGTGGCGGCCGGCTTGCGGCTCCTCTCTCCGCTTCCTCACTTGCTCTGCTTTCCCTCCGCCCACCCTCCCTCGCTCGCCGGCAGCGCCGGGGGTTGGGCTCCCGGAGCGCATTTGTTCCAGAGCTCGCAGCCCGGGCTGTCCCGCGGATTGGATGGCGCTCGCGTCCCTTCGCCCCGGGCAGCTCTGAGAGCCACGACCTCCCGATTCCTGGAGGCAGGGGGCCGGTGAGGGAACGCGGCACAGGCTCTGGATGAACATCGCGTGGAGAGCTTCGCACACTCCGTTGCGTGTAAACACACGCCTGCTCGGAAGTGTACCTGGAAAGGTGCTTCATCTGCAGGGAGCGAGTTGCAGGATGGGATCCCAGCACCGCGCATGGGGGAGGCGCTCACTCGGAGAGAGGGGTTTGGTGCTAATGCAAAGCTGTAATTGAAGTATGTGTGCCCAAATGTGCGACTTGTCGTCTTCTGGATCTGTTGTGAAGGTTTGGTCGATCAGTTCACATTGCGCAAAAATAAAACCATAGCCTAAGTATGCACCGGGCTCTGGTATCCACGGGAGTTTACCTCCTACTTTCTGCATGCGTGTGGCACGTGTAGGCGGTTTGTGAAGTATGCTTCGGCTGCCCAATAATGTCACAATGATTGGTAGAGTGCTTGTGTTTCGTTTTTTAAGGAAAAATTTTTAAATACGGCTTTGCCCTTCCTGAACTTTTCAGAATCCTGGAGCGTAACAAACAGCCTTCCTTTTAATTCTAAAATATGACTTGAAACTCTGCTTTGTAGTTACTATATGTTTAAAAATAATATTTTGCAACCTTCTTAGGTGAGAGGTTCTGGTTTCAAGTCACCTAAATATTTGGGTGGGTGGGTGGGTGTGTGCGCGGATACATGTTCTTGTCAAGCACTGGTCTTCCTTTAGTCTCAAACAAATTTTCAAACAAAGTATCGTTTGAAGTAACTTTGACGGCTGTAAACTCAGTCCTTTCAGTGACTAGATTTTTTTTTTTTTTCAGTCAAGGTCAGTGTCCTTCCCCTCGTGGCCCGCCTTCGTGTGGGCAGAAGTCTGTTTTGAGGGTGGTCGTGCTGAAAGAGAGCAGAAAAGCCGCAGAAAGAAGCCTGTGGGGTTGGAAATACCCTAGCTACCTGAAAGTTCAAAGCCTGAGTATCCTTGGAGCTATCTTCACATGTGAAAGAGGGAATGTTAGATTAAACAATGTCACCTGATGGGAACTTAGATAACGATTTCCAAAACACTGCTGGGTGTTCAGAGGAAGCTAGTTTTACCCTCCAGTGGCCTGCCAAAGGTGAAGTCTGGCTCAATCCTTCCACTGCCCAGAGAATTTATTATCTTCCCATTTGGCATATTTGTTTAAGACCTGTCCAGTGGCATGCATGTCTGCTCAACATAAACCTCATTTTAGGAAATAAAGTGTATCTCACTACAACCAAGGGTCTTTTTTCTGAACCACTCAGTGAGCCTCTAAACTACTTCAAGGGTTGGGTAGATGAGAGGGGATTCCCGCCCTTGACTTCCACAACCTCTACAAGAAAAGGACACCACGCTTTCAGTGGATAAAGATGTACACCCCAGTCTTTACAGTAGGTTCCAAGCTGGTGATTCCTAACCCTCTGTTGAGACATCTCTTCCAAAGACAGCCCTGGTTCCCTCCAGTTCTTAGACCCTGTACCAAGTTGCTTCCTGCCATGGTTCTGTGTGCACTGAGCATTGAGAGTGAAGAGAACCTGTGAATTTGTTTAGGACAGACACTGCTTTATTTAACTGCCATGACAGAAATCAAAATTGGAGGCCTGTACCTTAAACTTGCTCCAGTGAGTGCTCTTCAACCTTTATTGTTGGTGGTGTTGGTTAGGAGTTGGGGTTTTGTTTTTATGGTTTGGTTTTTGTTGTTGTTTCTATTTCTGAGGAGGATTTTCCTGTGCCTCAGCCTAGCCTCAAAGGTTTTCCAATCCTCCTGCCTACCCTCCTATGAGCCAAGAGGTTATCTTACCATTATTAAATATTACCTGGTCCTTTGAGATTGCTCATCAGGCTGATACTCCACCTGATGACCTAAGTTCAGGTTAGTTCCTATGCTGCAGTGGCAGGATAGGAGGTAGGAAGCTTCTCTGATGGCTGACCTGAAGGTCTGCTCAGCAAAAATGAGCCCCTGGAGGGTGCACTCCAGCACTTGGGAAGCAGAGGTGGGGTTTGAGGCCAACCTGGTCTATATGGTAAGCTACAAGCCAGCCAAGGCTGCATAATGATACCCTGACCCAAAACTAAGGAAAAAGGAAAAAACTGAAGGTTGTACTCTGACCTCATGCTCTCACATGGCGCATGTACCTGGGCGCGTGCACACACACACACACACACACACACACACACAGTCAATAGAGTCCTAGCATTACTTTAGATGCTCCATTTTAGCCTACCTGCTAAAGGGAGTTATCTTGGCTGCTCTGGGCTTTTTGGTTTTGGTAGTGGTGGTTTTTCTTTTTTCTTTTTTTTTTTTTAAATTGTTGTTTCTTTGTTTTGTTTGGTTTGGTTTTTCGAGATGGGGTTTCTCTGTGTAGCTTAGGAGCCTCTCCTGGCACTCACTCTGTAGACCAGGCTAGCCCCAAACTCCATCCACTCCCAAGTGCTGGGATTAAAGATGTGCACCACCACAGCCATGACTGGCTGCTCTGGTTTCTAAAGGGAGTCAGGTGAGCCTGGACTCTGGCTGCTCTGGTTTCTAGATACAGGAACCCATCTGAAACCCAAATGTGGCTTCAGCATTTTTTTAATTTTTTAAAAACTCTCTCTGTGTATCAGAACTTTTCTTTGGGAGATGAAACACTCATCTACTCACCCCAGGTAGGAAACCCACAACAGCCCAAAGTACAGATACCACCAAAGTCCAACTTGGTGAACCAGTAAGTTTTATTGGGGTCACTTACAGAAGCAGAAAAGACATCAGCATGACCAAAGCCCACCCTTTTGTGAGGGTGACCTGGAGCACACTGCACAGCCAGAAGACAACCAGGTGGAGAGTGTCCTCTCCAGGTACCTCAGTTGGTGTAAACCTCTTCCAGTTAGCTCTCCTGGCTTCTATCTTTGAGGCAGCTGGTCTAGGAGTCTGTTTTGCAGCCTTTTTCCTCTCAGAGTCTTCTTTCACATCTCTGAAAAAGATTCTCAGCTTTTCTTGTTTACACTAGCACGGAAAGAGCACAGTGAATCTGGTCAGTTTAAGGGAATTCTTGAAACTGCTATTTTGTTGTTGACCTCACTGCTTAAGGAACTTGCATTGGGGATGTAATGTTTTAATCTCAAGCAGACTGTACACAGCTCTGTGTGTGTGTGTGTGTGTGTGTGTGTGTGTGTGTGTGTGTGTGTTTTCTGGGGCTGGAAGTACAGTCAGTTCTAAGCCATCTAATAGAACCAAACTTGGGTCCTCTGGAAGAGCAGCAAGAACTCTTACCCTGAGCTATTTCTCTAGCATCAACATCTTAAAGACTAAGGTAAATGAGTGGCAGTACGAAAGTAGAATGAGCCTCACCTTTTAGCCATTCCAACATTGCCAACACACAAAATGAAAGATTGCACTGAAATTCAAGCAATAATTAGACCTGGGCAAATGGTAAGAATTGTTACTAATTTCCAGTGTTCTGAGTATAAATGTTATGTTTCTAGAAAAGACAAATTATTGTTACTAAGAAGTTAGACAGGAAAAGGACACATTAAGAAAGATCTCTTGCCAGTTGGTGGTGCACACCTTTAATTCTAGTACTCAGGAGGCAGAGGCAGGAGTAGCTCTGTGAGTTCAGCGTCAGCCAAGGGCTACACAGAGAAACCCTGTCTTGAAGAAGAAAAAAAAAAAAAAAAAGGAAAGAAAGATCTCTTAGTAATCTAGTTGGTAAAATGATTGATTACCAACTCCCAGGGAGCATATCCAGCACTATATAACCTGAACCTGCCTGGTCCTACACTCTTGGAATCCAAGAACTAGGGAGGCTAATACAGGGGGATCATCTGCTATGTAAGGAATTCTAGAACAGTGTGGGCCATTCCCAAAAAAAAAAAAAAAAAAAAAAAAAAATGAATGAATGAATAAGTAAGTTTTAGTTGGGCATGGTAGCATATGTCTTCAACCCCAGCACTTGGGAGGCAGACCCAGGTGAATCTGAGTTCAAAGCCAACCTGGTCTACATAGTAAGTTTCAGGACAGCCAGAGCTGTATAGAGAAACCCTGTCTCAAGAAAAGAAGTTGTAGGTCTTGAGACATTGTGCATCAGGTAAAGGCAATTATTACCAAGCATGAAGAAGAGTCACTAATTCACACACACACACACCTCTGACTAAACAAATCCTGACTTGTCTTACTTCAAATAATACTTCATTCAAGGAGCATTATATAACAAGATTTTAAACCACTATGATGGTTTAAAATGTTTACATTATATAGCCCACATAATTAAGTATTTAAAACAAATGTAACAATATGAAGTAGAAGTTGGTACCACAAGTATTAGCCAGTGCTCTAAGTCATGTCTTTCATTCTCAGCACTCAGTAGCTCCTGTTTTCTGAGATTCCAGACATCCTTCCAGTGCACTGTGATGCATTACTGTTTCCTTCTGACCTGTGC